ACACACAGAGGCCCACGCACAGACCCACACAGACCCACGCAGACCCACACATCCGCGCACGCGCAGTTGATCACTTGTCCCAGAGATGGCACAGCCCTCAGGCTGTACACTTCTGTGACCAGTGACCCATCCAGTGACAGGTTGGCGAACAGCAAGCCACTTTCACCCAAGGAGGCAGGCAAGCTGAGCTTTACCAAAGCTCATTGGAAAGGTGTAGAGCTGAGCTGGTTTCAGCATTGCAGGGGATCCAGGGGTTACAAGTTGCCGATGGCATTTCTAGAGTGTAGAGCCTGAGACGGAGACGAGTAACACTCTTGCTGGAGGCCAGGGAACCCAGGGACAGCAAGGAATGCGAAAGCGATTTCAGCTGGGAGTTTAACGGTTCTAGGTTTCAGAACTCCAGGCCAAAAATCAGTTGTTGATTTGTTTTTGAGGGTTATAGGGTTTCAAGCCGCTTAGCTTCATGCTTCGCCTCGTTATGGCCTTCGGAAACGCTGGTTTTCACGCAATGTTGAAACTGCCCCCTCTCTCAGTGTGAGGGTAAAGACACATGTTCCTAACCGGACGTAGGGTGCAGAGCAATGTGTTTGAACCCTCATTGTATATGCGCAGCTTCCTAATTCATGGTCCTCTTAGGGATCCCTATTGAAAGGGTGCCGCCTTGTGGGGGTACATCTTCGCCTTATGGGGGGGGGTATCTAAACCCTAAACCTTCAAACGTAAACCCCAAACCCTAAACCCATACACCACAACTCCAAGTCAGAACTTTGTTGGAATTACTTGTCGGCCGTTTCCATCCTTGACACCCTAAACCCTAAGCCTTAAGGACCCCAAACCCTAAACCCAAATAAATCCCAAATTACGTGTTTTGTTCCCTGCAGCTCGACTTTGAGTCAGCTAGGTTGGTGGCAACAAAGCTTCAACCCCAAACTTCACAAAGCCCGAAGCGGTGCAGCAAAGAAGCCAGAAAAAATGAGGAACAACAAATAACAAAAAGTCAACCGCCAGCCGCACAAGGCTGCCACATGTGCTCAGATAGTCTCTGAAAAAAGGGCTGTCGTGCGTTTAGTTTCTAGCTGCATGAGGTTTCTGATCGTAACCGTCCCGCATGGAGGTGTCCTGGTCTTCGACCCAACCTACACGCACAAGATTCAGAACACATCCCAGGCCCTGGCCTACTATTTGCTGAAGAACCCTTAACAGATAATCATCCCTGCATTACCCTTATAAGGAAGAACATGCTCATTTTGCGGGGGGGTTTCTTAAGCATACAGCAGTGGTACATCAAGGGGGGAGTGGGGGGGACTGAAATCGTCTGTCTCTACTGCAAGCCCAAAGCCCAGTCGGCAAACAATAAGAGGTGGCTACAGTTTTCGGCAATCTGTCTAGATCTCCGCTTGTGTTTACCCTAGACCAAAATCTGGAACTCGTGCACACTTAAACAGGATTTAGGAGTACAAGACAGGAGCGTGATTCTCAGTATGATTCCTATCCCGACTAGGAGTGACAAAAGATGGAGATGTTTCGCAGAAAGGCTACCGGCTGCTGGGGGCTCTCGCCGATCTTTTGGATGTTGGCTATGTTCTCTTCGCCAGACACTCCAATGTCTTCCCATGATTGGAAGCCTGAGCCCTGCACTGCTTTGCTGGTTTCCCTAAACCCTAAACCCTAAACCCTAAACCCTAAACCCTAAACCCTAAACCCTAAATTTGTTGCTTCCCAACTTGCGCCAACCAATCGGGATGGCGATGTCGTGGCTGTGGGCAGCTAATGGTTCTCGTGTTGGCACTTCCGCTGCCAACTGGAAACTCTGCAGTGTGGCTTTGGCTGGGTGGGTGGAAAGATGCCAGAACCCCCCAAAACCCGATTGGAGTTGTCCCGATGTAGAAGTCAGACTGCACATCAGGGCCAGGCGAGTTTCGGTATACTCTGTGAACCCTCCGCTTCGACGATAAATGGAATTTCCACCGGAAATGTGCAAGAGAGAATCAACCTGCCTATTGTTCGTATGAAGGAACGTTGCCCTGGGCAGGCTGAGATGTACCTGTTGTACTGCTCCTTGGAAGCAACCTTTGGTTTCTTCCGACTCTTCCATTCATGCCTAAGTCTCAAATACACATAGCTTGCATGCACCTCTGCCTGTATCGCTCCCTCAATTTGTATCTGTATGTGTGTGTGTGTGTCTCTCTCTCTCCCTCTCTCTTATCTCTTGTCTTGCTCGTTTTTGTTTTTGTTTATTTTCCCCCCTCTCACACTCTATGTGTGTTTTCTTTGCTCTTCTTCTTTCTCGCTCGACGTCTCTCTCTCTCTCTCTCTGTCTCTCTGTCTCCTTTTGTCTCCCTTGACGACTTGCGAATCTTCGGTGTGTGTGTGTGTGTGTGTGTGCGTGTGTGCTGTGAGCCGCGTACAGGGCACGGACTACTGTACAGGGACTAGGCACTCTGTGACTTGCCCAAACCAAGTCATCATTTTTCCTGCACAGGATGAAGACGAACACAAAGCCGATGCATGCATCTACACCTTTTTTTATGTAGGTATATACTCCATCAGGCTCAGAGCGACTTGTCAGGCCACTTCTACCACCCGCAGATATCGGAGGCCAGACAAAGCTGCTGACGGTCCTTCGGAGATCGGGCAGGATCCGGCTTGATAAATGTCCTGGATTTTTGCGGGGTATCGGCCGAACGGAGTTCAAGATGATCCTTTGAGCCTTTCCCCGGTCGCCACAGAATGAATTGTGGAATTCGTAACACCACAAAGGCTGCATGGCTGACAACCTTGCCCACATGTCCCAGCTCACTATGTTTTGTTTTGGATGCTTCCTCTCTGAGACATGTGGGACAGTATCGTATAAGTTGGACCCACAGTATTGCTCTACAATATGACCTTCTGGAACGTGCTAGAAGAATCATTTCTTCGTTAGGCTGCTAGGCTTGTTTCGAAAGGCCGTCCAAAGCCAAGAACTGCAGCCCTCACCTTCAATGTCGCATCGCGCACCCGAAACTCAGCATTGCGACCTTCCAGACCCCTGAGTCAAACAAGGCTCTTAACTCCTCAATGACCTAAGCCCTTCCTTGTTCATCGCCGTGATCCCAACCTGCACCTGAACGCCCCAACCTCGTGCGTCACCGACCACATGTCCCAAGCAGCCCAAATTATCCCAGCCCCAAATCCTTTGATCCGAGCTCTTTCGCACTTCAAAGTCTTGGCACGTTTCAAGTTCCGACGCCCTCGAGCTGTTAAGTTTCGAGCAGGTGGAGCGCTACGCCTTGCTGCTGCTGACACAGCTCATGGAGCGTCTCCAGTCTACGGGCCTGGTCTGGGCGCTCAGCCCTGGAGCTGGTGACTCATGTGTTCTGCTCTCTTCTACATGTATGCGAAACGGTCAAATGACATGAGTGTTCCTACGGTTCCAAGGGATTGACAGCTTAGGTAGGATCCGGGGGGGGGGGGGTTGCAGTACACCTTAGCCCCTCTCGGATGTGTCTACGTTGTTTCCGTGTCTCTACGATGTGTGTGTGTGCGTGCATATCTAACTCTCTCTCTCTCTCTCACTCCCACTCGCACTCGCACTCTCACTCTCACTCTCTCTCTCTCCCTCTCACTCTCTCTCTCTCTCTCTCTTGCTTTCCCTTGTGGTGCTACATACATCTGTCACAATACCATGCCGTGGAAGGTTGCGCTTTCTGGCTCTCGGGTTGGGCTTGCTTGAATTCGCCACTCGAACACGCTGACGACGCGACTTGCTCGTTGTAAAGGCAAAGTTTCTCACTTTTCCGCACCCAGACTTGTAGACGCGTACACTCCTTAAGTTGAGAACGCAGCAAAATCGCTGCAATCAAGGAGCAGTTTGCAAAAAGCGGCCTCAAGGTGAAGTCGTCCTCCTTGGCCCCCACGCCGGCAGTGGATGTCGGGGCACTCGTTGGGCAAGATGGGGCTTGAACACATGGAATGAGGATTGTAGAAACTCTAAACTTTGGGCATTCGGGGCTCAGGTCTGTTGTTGTGTCTTTTCTGGTTCAGGGTAGGACTGGGTAGGGTTTCAGCGTGAGAGTATGGGAAAACCGGGTGGATGGAGGAGTGACTTGTCCCTCAGCATGCATGACTTGCCCGTTGTGTCTCTACGCGTGAGTTCTGCTGGTTTTCTTGCGATCGGCTTGAATGACTGCTTGTCTTGGCTTGGCATGTCCCAACTGCCAACATGTTGCCCAGAGTCCTGAGGTGTACAGGACATTGCATCAGGCCAACCACAAGGTTTGAGCTCCTGAGTTCATCTCCTGGGACTCGCTTTGGGTGCACAGAAAGAGGCTCGTCGTGGTTTCACTCGAGTTTTGTGAAAGCCTGGGCCCCGAATGCGCAACTTCGAGACGCAGCCAGAAGAGGAAAACCTCGGGTTTGTCTGTTTGGGGTACAGGCCTTAGGATCTTATGGGGCGGGGTGGGGGGGGATAGACAGCGCAGCTTGTGTGAGAAAAGGTCTTCGCACGCTACTTTCCAGTCCCAATTCCGACTGCATATCAAGCCTCCCGCCTCGAAGGGGAACTGGTTGCAGGAGCCAGAAGCCACCTCTTCTGTGCGCTTCGATTCCTTGCTCTTGCTTTGACACTCGTGAAGTTGGCCTCGGCTTACCCAGCGGAGATCTTCTGGCATTTTGGCTTCCTTGCAGGAGTCTTACCGGCGGTTGCATCGAGTCAGACATGTTGAAAGTGTCAGTGCAAATGGCACTGGCGACATGTTTTGTGTTGGTAGATGTCCTTGAACTACGAGACACGTGTAACTGTGTAGCATCCAGTCGTCTCCATCCAGGCCATGTAAACTTGGCAACCTACTCAACACCTTCGCAGGAAGCTCTAGTCTCCTTAAAAAACCTCCTGCGAGCAAGCACCCTCTAGCAGTTGAGGGATCCTGGACAGCTAGGGCCTGGTCTTTTGCAGCCTTGGAAGCCTAACCCAGTTCTTTTCCACATCGATCGTGAAGAAGAAGCAGCCCCATCCAGAAGCGATGGCTGCTGTGGATAGGGAGATGCCAAGCGTGGAGGAGGACCGGGGGCGTTTCCTGAGCCATGTTCTTTGCTAGTGGGGCTGCCATCTTAGTTGGCACGTGTTGGCAAGAATTGGGTAGAGAAAGTAAGCTCTAAACCTTACAGGCCTCTGTAACCGAAGCCTAGATTGGGCATGGGACGAACTCTACATAGAGAGTACGTGGGAGTGCTAAACACGGAACAAAAGAGATGTAGGAGACCACAACAACCTCCAGGAAAAGGTGCCGCTTGTGGAAACTACAAGGAGGGGCCCCCTAGTTATAAGTAGAGTTATAAGAGCCCTAAATTGGGTTATAAGGATCCTATATTAGGTTATAAGTCGCTTAACTACAGTTGGTATAGGAAGGGGACCCCTCCTTGTAGGGCCCCCCGTCGACGCCGCCCAACATCGTCGAAACTTCAGCGTCGGACGCATTCCAAAACCGAAAGGCTTTTTAACAAATCAAAGTCAGGCCGATGTATACTATATAAATAAATATATATATATATATACATATATATTTAGTTATTTATTTATTTGTATGTATACATATATATATATATATCTACACACATGGTTTTATTTTGTTAGATCTTTTTTTTTGGGGGGGGGACATAACCCCAAAGCCTAGCAAAGACCCCAGGGCCCCTCCGCAGGACGCGCCACCCCTGCCGCCTCCCGTGCATGCGCCGGCTTCTGAGGCCGGGTTTAGGGTTTAGGGTTTAGGGTTTAGGGTTTAGGACTGGCAGCCTCCAAAGTCCGTTGCTCAAAAAAAAGGGTTTAGGACTGTCTGACCAGTAGGGACTTACTACTATCTGCTTAAGAACCCGCAAAAAGAATATGACAAGATTCCTCCTTATATGAGTACTATGGGGATTAGTACCTTTCAATCTTTTGGGGGGGGGGGGTTCTTAAGGAAATAGTAGTTTATAGGGTTCAGGGGATGCAAAGAAGGGTTTTGGGGCTACGGTGCGCAAATGCCAAAGTCCCAAAGCTGGGGGGGCCTAGCACTTGGGTGGTGGAGCCTTTTGGCAAACCAAGGATGAAACTTCTTGTTTTTGCTTTCTTAGGGTTGGTTAGAGCTGATTTGGGCGAAAGGTATGCTTCCTTTAGGGGTGGGATGCAAGTTGCTTTTCGGGGGCTTTGGGCGGATTAGCACCTTGGAGTTGGGAGCTGATGCCCGCGCGATGAGGGATGTGCTGCAACAAATTTTGAAGTTAGGGTCTAAGGCTCAGGGTTTAGGGTTTAGGGTGTAGGGCAAGCATCAGCACAGCCATTGTTGGTGAAGCAATCACTGCCGAGTCCAACTCACATTCCCCACCGTTCGGATCTTACTGTACCGTGTGAACTCTCAGTTTATGTAAACGTAAGCCCTGAAATCCTGAACCGAACCCTGATAGTTACCAACATCATCCCCATAATCCCTGTATATGCATAACATGAGCTGCTCAAAGTACAACATCTCATGAGACAGGGCCCTCTATCCCCGATATCAAGCCCTACAACACCTAAACCCTAAACCCTAATTCTCCACACGGCCTTCCAGGAACTGAGCCCTCCGCGAACAGAGTCCTTTGCCAGCGCCCCTTCGCAGCCGGCCTCCTCGCTGGTGCGGAGCCGTGATTATTTTAGTTTTAGGGTTTGGGGTTTAGGGTTAGGTCCTTAAAGCTATAGGTTCCGGGCTTTGGGCATGCTTCGAGAGACCTGGATGCAAAGGCGGTTTCGGGATGCGTGACGTTCACGGCGTCAACTATGTCCCATAAAGATCCTGGCGGTGGCTGCCCGCCATTATGCTTGAGCAGGGTGGAGACCAGTCTCACATGGTGTGTTGGGGCAGACTGACGGAAACGCATGGGTTGATCAACAAGCCCCGGGAGCTTTCGGGCTTTGCTCTGCTGAGCTGTTCTCGGCAAGTTGCGCGAGACAAGTTGAGCTCTTGAAACATGATCTTGTTTTTCAGCTGACGGTTTTTCCAAAAAGGTAGCATGGGCCGCATGGGCCACCGAAACAAACAATCTCTTCACTCGCGCTAAACTTTCATCCCACAGCCGCGCACCCCCCTGCAAAGGAATTTAGGGTTCAGAGCCCTAAACCCAGACTTAGACCCTAAACCCTAAACCCTAAACCGTTCAATACCCTTTGTTTTGCCTTGTCCACTATTCCACGCAGCTCAGGAGGGCTCTGCAGCCCGAGCCGCAGCCCGAGCCGGGGATAATCATCATACATATTCATCAGAATCAAGAATCGTCAGAATCTTCCAAACCGTCATAATATCATAATACTTGCAGTCATCATCATCTTCATCATCACAATTAGAAAAGTACTACAGATACTTGCAATCATCATCATCATCATCATCATCATCATCACAAGCAGAAGAAGTGCTAGGGTAAGCGACTTGTCTCCCATGTCCTGGACCTTGTCCGGGAGAAGGCGTGTTCGCCAAAAGCTGCTTCTGTCGATTGCACAATGACATTGTGCCATTGAATCCTCAAACCCTAAACCCTAAACCCTAAACGTGCTCCGATCATCAAAAGAATGGCCGCGCAGCAGTCGGCGATGTGCCCAGGTGCAGCGTGGACTTCCCCCAGATCACGGAGATCTGCGAGAGGCGGGGGATCTGCATGCAGCAGGGGCGCATCACACCTAATGGGCCAAAGGGCACAGAGCAGTTCGAAGTTTCTTCCCGTCGGTTGCACTTAAGGGCAGGGCACTCTCAAGATTGCTTGGTTCGGGGTGAAGTCGTGGCTCTGTATTTGACGTTCAGGTATCCTGACCGTAAGTCACCCCTTCGGTCCTGGGTGCTCCTGGGTGGTTGGGGGGTTCCATCCTTGTCCGAGTCTTGGGCTGTTTCGGGTAATTAGCTTCGAAGCCCTGGGAGGCTCGAGCTCCAACCCGCCGAGATCCGCACCACCGTGGCCGTGCTGTCTAAAGCTCTGAGGGATCGCAGGTGCGGCGGAGGGTTTCGGTTTGCAGTTTGGGGTTTAGGGTTTGGGGTTTAGGGGTTCTCCACCGTGGAGCCCTTTAAGGGTAAAAAGAATGCCTGTGCTCAGAAATGCAGGGGCATGGTTAGGATTGAGGATTCAGACCGGTTGAGACTCTGACGCGTTCATCCTACGCTTGCGCCGAAGACTGTGAAAGTAAACAATTGCTGTTGTTGGGAGGCGAATGCTTCCAGGTATAAGCTCAGGTTGGGCACGCATGAGGCACTGCGACAGTTCCTACCACATGCTAACCCTACCCATGTGCAAACCATCCCATCGAGCATTCTCTAATCGAGGGCACGGGCTTACAGTGTTCCGAACTCACGAAGGGAATAACTTTTTTGGGTGCAGGCTGTCGCGTCGAAGGTTCTTTTTGGTGATGGGGTGTAAAGGATAGCTAGCTCAGCGCACCTGCGAACCTTTGCAGGCAGCCTTTGCAAGCCTCGGCCCAAGTTTCGTTGCAGTGCCCGCCCCCCCCCCCCCCCCCCCCCCCTGGCCTCTACGGCCCCTCTCCCCGCCCCTGGAGCTGTACAGTGTGCACCTTCAAGCCCAAAGACGCTCCTTCTCCAACCTGGGGGGAGTCGAATGACATCATGTCCAGGCAATCGTTGTTGTATTGCGAGTATTTTATTGTTTTATAGTCTTGTAATCTTCATTGCTAGTATAACTGAGGGCGAAGCGTGGAAATCGGCAACATTTTCTCACATCGCCATTTCCGAGAGTACCATCTGCACTATGCAAGCGCATCCGGCATGCATCCTCTGTCTGCGAATGTGGTGCTCTGCCACGACAGATGCATGTCAGCACCTCCAACCGCAGGGGCATGTTCGGAGACAGCGACGATGTCAGCTGTGGCTCGAGGATATAAGGCCGCTGCAATATCTAAGGTCAAGCTCAAGGCTTTGACTATTGCCAGCGGCCAAGGGTTTGCCGCAGGAATTTGGCCGAGTGCAGGATGTTGAGTGGTGAGTTGCAGGTTTAGAGTTAGGTTTGGGGATTTGGGCTGAGAGGGTGCACGATGGCCTGCCCCTAAAGCCAGATAGGTGCCCTGTCAAGCATCATGTGCCGTGATGAGCCGATTCATGTTCCCAGGCGCATGAGATGCTGTACAACCCTCAAGTCGTCACCGGCTCAGTTTCCGGTGCCAAAAAGAATCCGGGCACTTTTTTCATGCACCTTCCGATTCGACATGACGTCCGACTGCGTTCCAGAACCGTGACCCAAGAGATCGAGAGGTGGAGGTCTTCGCCGAAGCGGAAGGCTTGCGCGAAGCTCTGGAGGCCTCATGGGACCCATGCAGAGTGGATACAAGGGGAAGAGGGAAGGAATGAGGACAGGGAGGGATCCGGAGCTTTAAGATGTGTAGCGCTCCCTATCCGCGAGCCCGCCTTGCAAGCAATAAAAGAACTTATAAGGGCCACGAGCTTAACCCTAACATTTCCTCCACTCACCCCCCCCCCCCCCCCGTTCGACCATTGCACTGATTGAATGCCATTCTACTTTGTTATAACTATTTCTGCATACTGTATATGTATACAGGAATGAACATACACAAAGAGTTCGGCAGCGCTGCCCCAGGCCCTGCGGCAGGTGCGCAGCGGGGAGTTGGGGGCGGCCATGGACGAGAACGCCCGGGAGCCCAGGAATCCCTGTTGAGGACCGTCAGTATACGGGGAGCATCCCAACCCGAAACCCTAAACCCTGAACCCCAAACCCTAAACCCTAAACCCTAAACCCTAAACCCTAAACTGCCAAGGTTCGGATGTTGGCCACGGAGATCGAGGGCCGCTGCTTTGAGGGGAAGCAAAGCGCGCATGGCTGGAGCTCCTTCGCGAAGGCACTTGGGGGGGCTTATAAGATCCTAAACCCTAAACCCTAGACCCTAAACCCTAAACCCTAAACCCTAAACCGGGGGGGGCGAAGGTCTGGGTTTCTCGGCTGGAAGCGGTCACTCCTGGACTTTGCTTGTTGAAGAGTTTGGGGTTGATGAACTTTGCTCAATTGCTACTATTTGCCTAAGATCCCCCCCAAAAACAAAAGATATGAATACCCAAAATACACCAATAAGGAAGAATAATCCAATTTTGGGCAGGGAAGCAAATAGTAGATTGTCAATACTTTGGATGTCAGAGTTGCCGAGAATGACGACCTCCAGGGATGAACCCGCTCAATGGCTGCAGTGGAAGCTTTGGATTCGGGCGCCCTACACCCTAGGCTTGGGGATGTTCAACCGTAGAATAGGGATTATCAGAGTACCCCCCCCCCCCCCCCTGCTATAATCCCGATTAAGGGCTGTAGCATCCCAACTCTACACCCGAAACCCCGCGACATCTTTCAAAAACCGGTCTACCGAAGCCCCAGGCCATGAGCTCGGATCTCGAAAAGGCTTGGGAGGGTAGTGAAAGTTTGTGGGGGTTTGGACAGTTTTTTGATGCCGTGTGGTTTTTGGGATTTGGGGGCTTTTGTGTTATCTCCGCTGGTGTCTGCTTTTCTGAATGAACCTCAAACTCACAAGCTTTAGGGCTTAACGGCCGGGGGCCGGCAATAGGGTGCGTAATGGGATTTTGATGGTTGGATGTCTCAAAGTTCCGAGACTTGTTTTGCTGGTCGAAGCGAAGATACCTGGTAGGTGAGGCTTGTTGTTGCCAATCTCGGCCGAGTGGTATTGTCAAGGCTGCAGGGCCCAACGTTCACTGATTCCGCTCAGGTAAGAATAGTGCTGACGATGGGCCTTGAAATCCAAAGCCATCGAATTCATGGACTTGTGTCCCAGCTTACCGGCAAGTTTCGTCAAGACAGCTACGAGCCAGCGAGAGAGGACGGCTGCATGGGTATCCGGGTATCCTGAAGAACGTCCAGACTCAACCCTGCTTGAGATGGGCTCTCCTCCCTACCCTGTACGCCGTGAACCGCCGGACAGGCGCGCAAAGCAGCACGTAAGAATTTCCAGCACCTCTCCCAGAAGGCAGTCGAGCCCTCAGTTCTCCGACATGTTTCCAGGCTCAGGGAGAGGTGAAGAGGACAGTTGGACACGAATCAGCATATAGGCATGATCCACAACCTAGACGCAGCATAGGACCAGCTGTCTATAGCAATAAAGCCCATGCCATCAGGAGAAGCACATGGAAAAAGCTGAGCGCGTCTTCGAGCGTGGAGCGACGATGCTGATGCAAGAGGCCACGGCCCAGGACCTGGGACATAGCTAATCCCTTTTACACATTGGCTTGAAACTCCAATTTGTTTTGCTCACCACGGGTACTGATCAACATTCCATGCGAAACCCGGCTAGTCTTAGTAAAGGTGTTCAGGACAGTCGCATTTGCGCAAGGATACCATGGTCCCTTTTAGTTCTCGGGCAGCTCTCCGTCCCAGCATTCATCTAATCGGTGGCTGCGCACGCTTCGAGCTTTCGTGCTTGACTCGCGATAGTAGCGTTTCAAATTCCCGGATATTGAATTTTCGCTCGGAAAGTTTTTCGTTTTGTGAGTTTCATCGGAAAACTTAGAAACTACGTTAGCTATGGATCTTGTGGGAGGGCGGGTTAGAATTCAGCCATGCACAGGCCTCGTGCCAGCGAGTCCTTGAGAATTCTGCGGCCACATACCCCGCGCCCCAAGAAGTACCATGCCCGAGAGTATAGCCCGAATTTAGAGTTTAGGGTTTGCCCGAAGATTCGCATACATCTCGGCTGCAGACCTAGTCTTGCGAGGCGGAGAACATGCTGTCTGGGCCACCGCAGAACCCGACTGTCCGAGGCAGATCGGGTTCCTCTGGGGCTCCCGGCATGTAGGGTAGGTAGTATGGTCAGGAGGTCAAGGTTGTTCAGGACACAGGGCCTCGTCAGCGACACTTGGGTACGACTTGCGTGTTCTGCCAAAGCCCAAACCCAAAATCGCTACATACAGGCCCGAAGCTTGAGACCCCAAACGCTTAATTTAAATAACCCTAAAGCCCGCCAAAATTCAACAACCCAAAGCCGGTTGAGGGGCTTAGCGTTAAACCCCGAACCCCAAGGAGTATAGGGTTTGCGGGGTTTCAACCAGCCAGCCAACCTCTAAGCAGCCCAGCCCCCACCGCTTAAACCTGAGCACGTCCCGAAACCCCAGGCACTGACAAGCAGCCGGCACTCACCACGGAGCGCCACTCAGCTCAGGGTGTCCGCGATTTCGGAGCTCTAGGCTTCTGGGTTCGGGTATTGTGAGAGCTGGTGCTGAAGAGTGGATCTTCACATGACCAAAGAGGTGGTTGGTGATGGGCTACAGGCAAACTGGCGGTGGGCTTTGTTGGCTAGCGTTGCTGGAATTGACTGCCTTCTTGCGACACGCTGCCTCCGATGCCTTTATTTCCAAAAACAAAGTCTTCTCATACCGGAGCCTTATCGTCACAAATGTAGAACGTAGGTATACGCTACCCAAGACAACTACCAGTAAGCCCTGCAGTCCTGCAGATCCAGGAGGACGAGCAACTTCAGTGGGCCCTTCGCCAGTCGCTGAAAGAAGCAAAGAGGCGCATTTCTTGTTAAAGGGTGGGATGTTCCCCCGTATACTAACTGTCCTATTCAAGTAGGGGTACGATAATCTCCATTCAGGACTGTTAGTATACGGGGGAACATCGCAAGATATAGACCAAAGCTTAAGAAAACAGGCGATGAACCCATGCAAGGTTCTTAAGAAACCGAGACAGAGAATAGCTTTGAGCCAAGGCTGGGCCTGGGGCTTCACAACTTACGATCTTGGCCCTTCGGGACGGTTCGGAGGCTTCGTAAGAACTTAGAAGTCCTGGGGCGGCGGGGGGGGCGGGGGGGGGGGGGAGGATAGAGGACACCTTTTGTGCCTGTGGCCAGCAAGCTTTCATGGCAGCGTCTCCAGTCTTTGTGGAATGAACCGCAAGCTGGCACAAGAAGTTCTTAGGGCCGCTGCCGATCTCCACACCCTTAAAAACTGCAAAACCTCTTTAAGCCCTGTCGCTTTCTTTAGATTTGATTGATGCCCGACTGACTTTGTCGAGGCAGAAGGCCAGCGGCTACTCCAAAGCGAGCCCAGCGCCCCAGATGCTCTCCCAAAGAACACGAGGTCTCTGGTAGCTTTGGGGGCCCATGGGTTTGGAGGGAGGGCTGCAGCCCTGAAAGGGCAGGCATCTCGGACCCAGAACCCACAAAAGTCCCGAGGGTTTCTGGACTCTTTCAGCGCAATCTCGGGTTGACTGAGTGCAGATGAGCACTTCAGCTGCCTTCAGAGCTTCCACCCACCCTCAGACTGAGAGTTGAATCCTGCTGAATCCTCAATGAACGTCTCGCGAAGGGGCGCCCCTTTGGGTGCACGAAATTGTTGGTTAGGGCACCGCAAGTGTGAAGAACCCACCCTGGCTGTTCATGTGAAGATTCAACGATCTAAGTCCAGGGTTTAGAGCTTGCCAGGACAACTCTTCTTTGTAGGTACCCAATCGAGCCCGACGACCTCTTCTGCTTTTTCTTTCCATGGACACAACCGGCCCAAGTGTGCCCAGAGCAAATGGCGCTTGTGTGCATGTAAATGCAACATCGTGGGGTTCATCCAGAAAAGTTCAAGGTGGGGATTAGACGGGTTGTACGTCCTTCTCTCTGAGGCAAAAACTGTGCATGCAGGATCAGTGCGCGCGCACCTAATGACACGAAGACACAGCGAAGACGCAGCCCTCTTGCCGCCTGCAGGTAAGCTCGAGCCACCTTCCGTCGAGGCCCTGAATCCCTAGCTGCTCTTGGAATTGCAGTTGCGGGTTCCTTCACGCAGTCTCCCTTAGAAGCAGGCGAGTTAAGGGAGAGACGCAGAGCAAGACGAACATCCGGCGTAGTGGATGCAGCTTTAGCGGCTTGAGGACTTGAAGACCGCTTGTGATGGACTGAGTTGGGTTGCACAGCTGGATTGTCCGCATTGTTACGATCATGGTCATTTAAAAATTGCTACATCCTTTCTGTACTTTCAGTATTACAAATCTTTTATGTTGCTAGTACTATGTTTCACTGTTTAATGTTTAAGTATAACCATATCTTCATGAGTATTTATTATTGACCCAAAAAGATTCAACGCGCACTCTCCAGCCAGACCAGACCATGGGGTCCTTGACAGGATTTGCCACCAGAAGTTGTACAGGCTGACAGCCGTCCACCCAGTCAGCGCACCTGCACGCCAATGCGGATGAAGCCCTAAACCCTAAACTCGAAAGCCTAAAGCCTAAAGCCTAAAGCTTAACCCTACGCAACTGGCATCCGCCCCCCGCCCCCCTTCTGAGAGAACGGCACACGTATTTTGAGAGCCGATGGCGTGGAAGCCTACTGATTTCAAGTTTGAGCCGTTTGTACCTGAGTCCCTTAAGACATACAAACCTCATCTCCCTTTGATGGGCCAGCGAGGCGGGGTGGCAAACACCCGAAACCCTAAACCCTGTAAACCCTAAACCCCAAGCCCTAAACCCTAAACCAGCAGAACCCCATACTTCAAACCGCCAGTTCCCTGCAGAGTGTCCGAGAGGTCAGCTAAGCGGGTGGCAAAAAAAAAACCCTAAACCCTAAATCTAATTTGGGGGTTTGGGGCTGACAAGGGCTTTAGGGCGGGCATCTCTTTTTTTTTCGCTTCTGGGGCAGCCGAGGCCGAGCGACGGCCGCTGCCCTGGAGTTCAGGGTTTAGGGTTTCGGGCTTCGGGCGCTTAGGGCTTAGGGTTTAGGATCTTTGTTATAGTGGGGCAATACGTTTTTAAGGGTACGTAAACCCAGTGAGGAATAGAAATGTAAATGTTCAATACTATTCCCAACCATGAACTAGAGATGTAGTTCAGAGAGTTAGGGTTTTGGGTCGGCATCTATTGGATTTTGTGGCGAACTGTTGGTGGCCCAGGGCTCGTTTAGGGGATCAGAGTACTGTACTGGTACCTTCCCTCCGGCCCCTACATGTGCCTGCCACAGATCAGCGAGATGAGTTAGTGTTGATGGAGGCAAGGGTACGAAGAAAGTCGATTTTGTTTCCTGGAGTCGTGGCTGTAAAAGGTTCTCTCCTGGCGACTGGGGAGCCACAAGACTGCACCGACTAGGAGGGTCAGTTGAGATTGTGTCTCGAAGCTTCCCGCTGTTCCGCACCCTTCGTTTGACTGGGTAGTGGGACTACGACTATGCACCTTCAGACTCGCAATGTGCAAGCTTGGCCCTAAAGTTCACTTCAGGCAATCCAGGGCCGCTGTGTCGGAGCCCTTTGGGCTTGGTTCCCTAAACCCAAAACCCCAAAATCCTCCACCCCAACCCTAACCCTAAAACCCAAAACCTCAACCCCCAAAACCCTAAACCCTAAACCCCACAACCCCAACACCCTAAAACCTCACCCCCAAAACCCTAAACCCCAACACCCCAAAACCCTGAACCCTCTTGAAGTTTCAAGGCCATCGAAGAGGCCTTGGGTGCACAGCTGGCAGCGGAGGCGCGTATGTGGCCTTCATGGATACCAGGGCTTTGGGACTTTCGAAGCCTAAAAACCCTGGTATGGTTTAGGTTTTAGGGTTTGGGGTTTGGGGTTTAGGGTTTAGGGTTTAGGGTTACTCTGAACCTCCCCACGAGGCTTCGGGTTGGAGACGCCCAGGGTTTAGAGAGGGAGGAGCGGGAGAGAGAGAGAGAGACTCCTCTGATCCTCAGGCCACTTCAGGCCGCAAGCCTTCAAGCCCCAAGCAAAAGCTGAAAACATGCTGCAGGGCTGTCTCACAGGAACCACATGCCAACCCAATGTTTCCATGGTCCCAAGAGCACACCATTCTCGTACAGGATGCTGACGCCAAAGAGACTGCGCAGCTCTCCGCCAAGCTTGAGGCGCTTTGAAACCGTTTAGTGGGCTTTGAGTTTCAGGTTTAGGGTTTAGGGTTTACTGGAGCCCTGAAGCAAAAAGGGTTTAGGGTTTACGGTTTAGGGTTTTAGGGTCTTCGGCGGATTCGTGCAGCACAGCAACCGAGCATCATCATCAGTTCCGCCATGCATACTCCCCGCCTTGATGGCGGGGCGTGTTTCGATCTTGCATGGAGATTAAATCTCATAATGTCCCAGAAACCCTCAATGCTGGGGGCATGGCTCGATCGCGAACACACACACACACACACCCACCCACCCACCCACCCACCCACCCACCCACCCACCCACCCACGCACGCACGCACGCACGCACGCACGCACGCACGCACGCACGCACGCACGCACGCACGCACGCACGCACGCACGCGCACCCGCACACACGCGCGCACACCCACACACACACACACACACACACACACACACACACACACACCAACACACCAACCACACAGTTCCAAGACCTTTGCATCCTCAACAGCCCAGGGAGTCTCCACGATCCGATTGCACCTCCAAAATTGGTGTTTGTCAGCGCATCAGCATACTGACAAAAACGACTTATGGTGATCTTGAGTCCAAGCGGTCGCCACTTGGCCAACCTGCACCTTTGCGGTTTCAGCCGGGCACGTGCACAGTCCGTTGCAGGGAAAGGGTTTCGGGCCGGGTGGGAGGGCAACAGCGATTTGAAATCCGTCGCAGTTCACGCTTGAATAATGCCAGCGTAGACCCGAACATAGAGAGATCATGTGAGCATACGCGTCCAGAAGCAACGGCAGTTTCGCACTTCGCGAGCCCGCACGTCCAAAGCGATGACATTTCGAGGACGGCGAGCGTGACCAAGCCGATGCACCCCCAAGCGAGAGTCTGATTTTCTTCCCAAAATGCGAGCAGTTCTCGAGAAGAGTCCATGGTCCGCAGCGTGCGTGCGCTCACGCTTGCGCGCGCCCGCTGCGGTTTACTTTGAGTCTCGAACGATCTCAATTGGTAAGCTTTTTTTGCGGTTTTGGAATCTCGGCTTCGGCAACCAGGAGCCCGCTAAGCAAAGCATTCTAGACTCCCTGAATCGTTTCCGAACTTGGTTGATTGCAAACGCCCGGCTGCATTCTGAGGGTTGTCGCCACGCAAATCCGAACCCTAAAACCCCTAAACCCCCAACACCCAAAGCCCCGAAAACCTCCTAAACCCCGAAACCCCCAAACCGTATTGACCATGTCCATTTCTAACCATGCCCCACCCAGCACCCAAACCATAACAACCTATGCCTCAACCTTCAACTCACCAAATGCCCCTGCAGTCTCAAGATTTTACACGCATTTGTCAGTCTCGACACCAGCTGTTTTGGGCCTTTCTGGCTTATCTTTTTGTGTTCATTTGGACGGGGGTGATGGCGGCTGTGTGCAACACATGGCTGAGCACAGTGGACAGCTTTGCCGCTGTGTTTCCCGCTGATGAGCGGTGGCAAAAACCTGAAGCTCATCCTTGAAAGGACGCCATGAAGAAAGCGCAGACTTTGGCCACACTCCTTTCCAAGGCTGGGAGGGTTCTTCTCTGGGGCTGCTCTACATTTTCGGTGCCTGTTTTGGAGGATCCTTTCGTAGAGGAACTCTATGACAAAGGTTACTGATAAGGAGGAGTAGCACTCCCTCCCCATCTATTTAATTCATTCGGTTGTGCATTCCGGTCTTTCCGGTCGTTTTTTCGGGTTCCGGATTTGCCGCTTAGCGAAATTGGGAGGGGGGGGTCGTTTCATCAAACGCGCAGTTTTTGTCCAGTTGTAGGCTCCCTTTTGGCACCTCAGTTCTGAAGAATATAGAGGGTGATCCAATTGGGGACTTAGACAGGGTTTAGGGCCTGAGAGCCAAGGAAGCCCTTTGTTGGGGTGCAACTACTTGAATACTCTGCAAGGCACCCAATGAGTTCTCATACTCCCCGGAACAATAGTGTTGTTGGAGGCTGGATCGTATTTATCTACACAGTGTCTTTATCGAATGTACCTAAGCTCTATGAACTCTCCCTCGAACTCTCAGCACGCGAGGCCGAGTACGAGTTGACCGGCCTGAAGCAACACCGCGAACTGTTGGAGGACGACGCCTTCGGAAAAGCTTAGCACGCCCTGCCAGTTGCCTGTTCTGCTTGAGTCTCCCACCCTGGTCAGGATCAAGTTCTTCGTGCACACTCGGAGGAGGCTGCACCCCAAAAGGACTTTATAGTTCTTCAACTGCTTCCCACTGATTGGTGTAAACTCAACCCCCCCCCCCCCCCTAAAACCCTAATCGGGTGGAGACTCCGATCCCTTGGCAGTCGCAGCTCCAGCAACTCCGGAGACGGCTTACAGAGCTGGAGGCATCGTCTTCTTGGAGGGGTTGTTAGGGTTTAGGGTTTAGGGTTTAGGGTTTAGGGTGGTTCTTCATGGGGGTAGGTACCGAGAAAACCTTAGAGAAGCTTTGGGAGCTCTAGGAGTACTAGGGAACAGTTACATATGCCCCTTGAACCCCCCTCCCTCCAGTGAGATCCCTATAAAAGGAGAGGAACTTCGTGAAGGGTGAGGGCTCTAGGGATGGGGGGGGTTTGTGACTGGGTTTGTGGTGTATATATATATATGTATATATATATATACATGCATATATATATATAGATATATATTTATTTATTTGTTTATTTCTGTATTTGAATATTGTTTAGAAACTCAATTGAAATTTCCTTCCATTCACATGTAGAGCTTTGGTTTTGTCTATTCGGCACTTGTGATTGGGGTCGATGTCGTGCGTAGGGGAAACCAGGCCCAGCCGATACTTCTGGATTTTGTTGGGGTAGGCTCTGCCAAGTATCCCACCCCCTTTCTGCAGAGAAACCTGAACCCCCTAAACCCTTAAAGCCTAAATCCTAGGGCCAAAAAGTGTAAGTCCTGAAGCCCACAACCAAAACGAAACCACGCACTCTTCCCAGGCACAGGCATCTGCCACCTCGTCCTCTGCAGCGTGTGTGAGGGAACCAGAGGCCACTTCGTCACCAGAATTGGGCTACTGGTTAGGAATCTACGAAACAGAAAACATACACGAACATTAGTATGGTTCTTTGATTTGTTTCTTTCGACGTATATCTATGTCGTTATAGGGTTTCACATAGAGTTTATAGGGCTTATAGTGCTACCGCACTGGCAGTCACAGAACACGAGTTCGTGGGGTAGTAGTAGCAGCAGCATCAGCAGCAACAGCAGTCATGATGGCCTTTGCCAACTGCAGTCATGCTTTGTTTGGAGAGCCGCCCTTTTCAACTGGAACGCGTAACGCGACAGCTGCATCATGACAGGTTGAACAGCCGGCAGTGTCCGCTGAGACTCTGGAGGCTGATGGGTTTAGGGTCTAGGGTCTAGGGATTAGGGTTTAGGGTTATGGGCTTAGCGTAGTGCTCATTAACTGTCGTTCAAGCGACTAAGGCTGAGCAGTCTCACTCCAAGCAGCTTGCGTCTCATGATGCAAACACACTCGGCTCCCGCGCTGCATCAGAACTTGTACCTGAACCCGACCTCCTTCACCCCAATACCCAGTCAGCTCTGGCGCTTTGTGGAGGAACCTTCGTCAAGTACCGTCATGGACGCCCCAGAGTCGATTGAGGCGCCTGGAAGCTGTAAGTGGCAGCTTCACTCGAGCCAACAACCAACCTCCAAAAGGTGAGCGGCTGAAAGCAACTCCTCAGTTGCTACAGCCCAGACTGCTTAGGAGCCGCAGACCCCTGAAGAATGTAAGTCCGAAGCTCCTGCGGAAGACCTCCGACTTATAGACTCTACACTCTGAGCATCCCTGAGTCCAGTAGACCCCAGGTGATGGGATGGGTCCCTTGGAGGTGAAAATACCCCTTTCGCACGCCAGAGCCCCCCTAAGCTCGAAGCCTTGCCCGTGTGGGAGCGAAGGCTGCCTTCTGGGGGGCTTTGGGTTTAGGGTTTAGGGTTTAGGGTTTAGGGTTTAGGGTTTCAAGGGCCCATGGACTGGCGCCTCCTGGTTCGACGGCTCCGTCAACTGACTCCGAAAGCCGAGCGGAGCCCCGAATCCTTGACCGACTCGGGACCTTAAACCGTGTTGATCCGGAGATCCCGTGTAAAGCTGAGAAAGTACACATACACATGTACACATACATGTGTGCAAATGCGCAAATGTAGAGATCTGAAGAGATATGAGATGTATGTAGTATGTACATACTAAATACATATATATATATATATATATTCATACATATATATATATGCACATATGCATGCGTGCGCAATTGTGAAGAGAAGGCCACGCTCGACCCTTCGCCCATCGAAGCGGCATCGTTTGCCAGCGTGCCTTCGGCCACGAAGGACGAGGCAAAAGGGTGCAGGGCTTTAGGTGGGTTTAGGGGTTTAGGGGCTTAAAGGTTTAGGGGTGTAGGGGTTTTGGGGCTTAGGGGTTTTGGGCTTAGGGGCTTAGGGGTTTAAAGGTTTAGGGGTTTTTGGAGGAGGTTCAGGCCGGAGTCATTGGCCGAGTCAATGACGCTTGCGTAAATCGCATTGGCTTCGACCCTCACAGGCCAGAGATTCCAGGAGCGCTGAAACAAGAAGGGTTTAGGGTTTAGGGTGCAGCGGCTTAGAGTTTAGACTCTGTGTGTAGCTCTTCAGGGAAGCTTCAGGGGCGGAAATGGTTGGCTTCCAAGCTCTATGTCCCACACCCCTCACATGCAGGCCTGCAAGGGCTTGGCCATCAGTCTCAGCACAGCTGCTAGCATCGGGCAATCATGGGTCCACCCTGGGCATCCGAGCCCCTTGTAAACCCTGCCCAAACATTGGACATCCCTACAAGCCTTATATCATTAGTTAATCTACACCGCACAGAAGCCCTCAGCCCCGACGAAGTCCACAATAATATGAATCCCCTCTTGAAGGCGGAGAAGGAGTCGGAGCGCCAGCAACAGGAGGCTGACATGACCGCGTCGCCGGCTTGCCCGGCAGAAGTGCGTGAGATCCAGGAGGGTGCTTTTGACATGCCAGGGCTTTTCAAGGATCTAGGGTTCCGGATGTTGCCAGCACATCCAGTGTACAACCACAGCCGGAACCTCGAACCCCACTGCTGAACCTCCCGGCCCACACAGCAACCATACCTTACCTTGCTGGGTCTTCACGAGGAGGCGCCGAAACAGAAAGATTCGGCGGAGGAGCCGAGACAGGAAGATTCGGCGTGCAGAGACGACGGAGAAGCGGAAGAGAAGCTGCGACTGGAATCAATAAGCTTTGGGGTTTGGGTTTTCGTGACTGGCCCTTGAATTGAAGTTAAACATGTAGGAAAGTATATATCTATGTACGTATATGTGTGCGTGCGTGTGCATCTCGCCCTATGCAATCTGGAGTTGAGGTCTTGTTCAAAATGCTTAGCGGGCCCTAAACCCTGAACCCTAAACCCGAAACCCTAAACCCTAAACCCTAAACCCTAAACCCTTAGTCTCCCCAAGGCTCCATGGCGTCCCGGGGATCCCGGGTGAAGATGCCATGGAAGCAACGGGTTTAAGGGTTCAAGGTTGGGATGCTTCTAAAACTAGCAGTCCTTAATGGGGAGTATACTATACGGCTTTAGGGTTTAGGGTTTTGGGTTTAGGGTATAGGGGTTGCTGTTATCATCTTTTCTACCAAGTAAGGAGTGTTAGCACAAGGAAAAAACAGCCCAAGTTCAAGGGCCTCCGGAGTGAAGGAAGAAGGGGTGCACATTGTATCACATTGTGACATGCAGATGCATGCGGAAGCATGCGGACGCTTTCTAGGCAATGGCAAGCCGGTCGTTCCCCGAACCTGAAATCGCAAAAACATGGCCTGAGGCCCTAAACCCGAAACCCTCAGCCACACTGTCGGTCCGTTTGGTGAAGTCGGCCAGAGGCCTCAGTGAATCGAGATTGTAAGTTGTAAGAACATAGCCGGATCAGTGGGGGCAGATGTATAAGCCTATTTTTTATGGCAAAGGGGTCCCGTGTGCCGTTTGCCCTCTTTTTTATAAGTTCTTCTGGACAACCAAGGGATCAGGGCCGATCAATGTCAGACAGCGAAATGCGTCTGCCGGAGACGGATTCCACTGAGGGGGCCAATGTGAGCCACCAGGAGACTCCGCTCTGCGCGGAACGGTCCGCTGTAGACGCTTCCCAAGCCCAGGATCACACAGAACCTTCGGCGAAGAGCACGGAAGACGAAGCCACTGCAGTGCCGCAAGAGCAGCACTCTGCCCACGAGGAGTCTGCAAATCCCAGTGCCGAGATTGTGCAGCAGGAGCAGCAGGAGGCTGGAGTTGATGGCCTTCCAAGTGAGACCAAGCCCGACGCGATGGACGGCGAGGAAGCATCCACGGCACCCTCCAACGAGCAGCCGTCCGACGGGGCCCCAGGCAGTGCTGGAGCCTCAACACCCGAGATGGTTGACCTTGACAAGAAGCTGGAGCCCGATGGTGACACTCCTGCCCGACCTTCCTCCAGTCCGGAACCGAGCTCATGAGAGTTTTGATGCAGTTGGGCGGGTGTCAAGTCATGTGCCTCTCCAATCACTCACCTTGTCGGACCCATCTTCGAATCTTGCGGAGCCCGGGCAGCTTCCTCAAAGGCCCTATAGGAGATCAGTGGGCCCTACTGAAGCCGCCATGATTGTACAACGTGGGCCCCCAATACACAACTACGGTCACTCAGGCGCCCCAGGCGAGTCTGTAGACATCATCCCGGCCCCGAGCTCAGCAACTCTACGGCGCACGCTGCATCACTTTCAGGGCGTCACTGCGTCTGCGGAGTGCCGAGGAAGCATCCCAAACCTGAGCAGCCATTCATAGAATCAGACAAAAAGTGGGCATCCTGCTTTCGCTGCAGCGACCACGGGAATGTCGGGCGTGGAGGCAACGTTTGGGTAGTTGAGGCGGGGGTTGGGGGGCAGGGCAGCCCGAGAATTGCCACATGAACCTGGGGTTTAAGTGTTAGCCCGCAATGTTCAGAGCCGAGGTCAAGCAGCACTTTCGTCGAATAATGTCGAATATGACTCAGCGTATTTTACGTTTACTTTGAAGTGTGTATTTGCCAGCAAGCAGTATTGGTTCCTTCGAATGGTTTCTAGGTGCCAGAGACTCGAGAGCATTGAGAGCCGAAAAATCAGGGCGATCAGGCGCAAGCTTTGTGAGTTAGCGAACCTGGAAGAAGGCGCGATAAAGCGAACCGAAATCCGGAGAGGGCAGAAGACTGACTTGACTTAGCGGGAGCACATGTTTCAAGGGTTTGTTTGCTCGAGCCTGTTGGCGTTTTCTCGCACTTCGAGATGAGATATGTAGAACACACTTCTTGGGCGGTGGTCTATGTGGGACGCCATGAATATTGCAGCTGCTTTAGTAGCGAGGGCATATGGGCCAAAACGAATGCACCGAATCGAAAGCATACCAACTTGCCAAGCGCTGTGATGCGCAGCGGCCACAGTGCGGCCACGGGAATGTAAGTGTTTTTTGTGTTGTTCCCTTCCCTTGCCGGTGGAGGCAACGTTTGGCTGCTTGTGGCGGGGGGGGGGGGGGCGGGGCAGCCCGAAAATTGCCACACTTGGCCTCGAGTGTTACCGTTTACCCCATACAAGCAACGCTTTTCCGTCGAGTGTAATTTGTTGTGCTTTCAGGCGCGTTTTGCCCAGCAAGCATTAAATTGGTTCCTTCGAATGGTTTCTTCTTAGGTGCCAAAGACTCGAGAAGCATGAAGAGCCGAAAATCAGGGCGATCAGGCGCAAGCTCTGTGAGTTATTGCGACCTGAAGAAGGCGCGATAAAGCCAACCAAATCCGTAGAGGGCAAGAAAGACTGCTTTACTTTCGGGCGCACATGTTTCATCAATGGGGCAAGGGTTTTGTTTGCTCGAGCCTGTTGGCGTTTTCTCTGCGCACTGTCCGAGATGAGATATGTAGAACACACTTCTTGGGCGGAGGTCTATGTGGGACGCCATGAATATTGCAGCTGCTTTAGTGGCGAGGGCATATGGGCCAAAACGAATGCACCGAATCGAAAGCATACCAACTTGCCAAGCGCTGTGATGCGCAGCGGCCACAGTGCGGCCACAGGAATGTAAGTGTTTTTTGTGTTGTTCCCTTCCCTTGCCGGTGGAGGCAACGTTTGGCTGCTTGTGGCGGGGGGGGGGGCAGGGCAGCCCGAGAATTGCCACATTGCTCGGCGTTTAAGTGTTAACCCCAGGTCAAGCAACACTTTCGTCGAGTGTAATTTGTATGTGCTTTCAGGCGCGTTTTTGCCAGCAAGCAGTATTGGTTCCTTCGAATGGTTTCTAGGTGCCAGAGACTCGAGAGCATTGAGAGCCGAAAAA